GTTCAGTTCAGCTCAGCTCCGTTCAGCTCAGTCAATTTACCTCGCGAAAAACAACTTCGGGCTACGCCCAAAACGAGGACTACGACGACGACGACAACGACGACCACGACGACGACGACGACGAAGACGGCGACGACGACGACGACGACGACGACGACCGACGACCGATGAAGACGCACTGTGGTTTGTTTGCCGGTGCCTCATGGGGTGGAAGTGCTACGTGCCCGCCGAGTCGCCGATGACGATCGCGACAGGGCCGGCGACGAGACGACCGACGGCGCGTGCGTGCTGCGGATGCCCCATGGGGGGGGCGTGGACGACGACGGCGGCGACTACGACGACGACGACGAAGACGGCCACGACGGCCACGACGACGACGACGACAACCGACGACCAATGACCGACGAAGACGCACTGCGGCTTTTCTGCGGGTGCCTCATGGGGTGGGGGTGCTGCGCAGGCCCGCCGTGGTCGACGATGACGACGGCGACAGGGCCGATGACGAGACGACCGACGGCGCGTGCGCGCTGCGGATGCTCCCTGGGGGGGGCCGTGGACAACGACGGCGGCGGCGGCGGCGGTGGCGGCGGCGGCGACGACGACGACGACGACTACGGCCACGACGACGAAGTCGACGGTGCACTGCGGATGCCTCCAGAAACGGGGGGGCTGCAGACTCAGGAGGGGCGGCCTCGCAAGCGGAAGCGGTGTCGCTCCAGAGCGCGGGACCCCAGAGGCGGGCGTGGGCCTCGGCCGCCGCGGGCGCGCTCTGCGCGGCCGGCGCCTGCGCCGGCGCCTGCGCCGGCGCCTGCGCCGGCGAAGCCCCCGCCGCCTGCCGCGAGGGCGGCTGCGGGTGTGCGCGCGCATCATCGGCGTCGTCGTCGTCGTCGCCGTCGCCGTCGCCGTCGCCCTGGTCGTCGCCGTCGCCGTCGCCGCCGCCGCCGCCGTCGTCGTCTCCGTCATCGTCGCCGTCGCAATCGGCGCCGCCGTCGGCGTCGGCGTCGGCGTCGGCGTCGCCGCCGCCGCAGCCGCCGCAGCCGCCGCCGCAGCCGTAGTCGTCGTCGTCGTCGTCGTCGACGACGCCGTCGCCGCCGTCGTCGCCGCCTCCGCCGCCGTCGCCGCCGCCGCGGCCGCCGTGGCCGGCGTCGCCGTCGCCGTCGCCGCCCTCGCCGTCGCCGTCGTCGTCGATGTCGTCGACGTCGCCGTCGTCGTCGTCGTCGTCGCCGTCGCCGTCGGCGTCGGCATCGTCGGCGTCAATGTTGACTGTCGTCGGCGTCGTGTTGGTCGCCGTCGTCGTCGTCGTCGGCGTCGGGGTCGGCGTCGGCGTCGGCGTTGCCGTCAGCGTCGCCGGTGCCGTCGCCGCCGCATTCGCCACCGCCGCCGCCGCGGCCGTCGTCGTCGTCGCCGTCGCCGTCGCCGTCGCCGTCGCCGCCGCCGTCGCCGTCTCCGTCGCCGTCGGCGTCGCCGTCGGTGTCGGCGTCACCGCCGTCGCCGCCGCCGCCGCCGCCGCCGTCGCCGTCGCAGTCGCCGTCGCCGTCGCCGTCGTCGTCGTCGTCGTCGTCGTCGTCGTCGTCGTTTTGTGGTCGCCGTCGTCGTCGTCGTCGTCGTCGTCGTCGTCGTTGTCGTCGCCATCGTCGTCGCCGTTGTCGTCGCCATCGTCGTCGTCGTCGTCGTTGTCGTCGTTGTCGTCGTCGTCGTCGTGGTCGTCGTTGTCGCCTTCGTGGTCGTCGTCGTCGTGGCCGTCGTCGTTGCGTCGTCGTCGTCGTCATCGTCGTCATATCATGGTCGTCGTCGTCGTCGCCGTCGCTGTCGCCATCGTCGCCGCCGTCGCAGCCTCCGCAGCCGAAACTGTGGTCGTCGTGGTCGTCGTGATCGTGGTCGTCGACGTCGTCGCCGTCGCCGTCGCCGTTGCTGTCGCAGTCGCCGTCGCCGTCCCGGTCGCCGCCCCCGTCGCTGTCGCCGCCTCGTCGTCACCGTCGCGGTCACCGCTGCGGCCACCGCCGTCGCCGCCGTCGTCGCCGTCGTCGTCGTCGCGGTCGCGGTCGCCGTCGCCGTCGCCGTCGTCGTCGACGTCGCCGTCGCTGTCGCCATCGCCACCGCCGTCGCCGTCTTCGTCGTCGCGGACGTCGTCGCCGTCGTCGTCGTCGTCGGCGTCAATGTTGGCTGTCGTCGTCGTCGTCGTCTTCGCCGTCGTCGTTTCTCGCCGTCGCCGTCGTCGCCGTCGTTGTCGCCGTCGCCGTCGCCGTTGCCGGCGCCGTCGCCGTCGCGGTCGCAGTCGCCACCGCCTTCACCGTCGCCGTAGCCGTTGCCGTCACAGTCGCCGTCGATGTCGCCGTAACCGTTGTTATCGCCGTCGTCGTCGTCGACGTCATTGCCGTCGTCGTCGCCGTCGTCGTCGTTGAGCTCGTCGTCGTGGCCGTCGTCGCCGTCGCCGTCGTGGTCGTCGTCGTCGTCGCCGCCGCAGCTGCAGCCGTCGTCGCCGTCACCATCGTCGTCGGCGTCGTCATCGCCGCTTCCGCCGTCGCTGTCGTCGTTGCCATTGGAGTCGTCGTCGTCGTCGTCGCTGCCGTGCCCATCACCGTCGCCGCCGTCGTCGTCGTCGTCGTCATTGTCGCCCTCGCCGTCGCCGTCGCTGTCGCCGACGCCGTCGCCGCCTCGTCGCCGACGCCGTCGCCGTCGCCGTCGCCGTCGTCGCCGCCGCCGCCGTCGTCGCAGTCGCTGTCGCCGTCGCCGCCGTCGCCGTCACCGCCGTCGTCGCCATCGTCGCCGTCGCTGTCGCCACCGCCGTCGCCGTCGCCATCGCCGTTGCCGTCGCTGTTGCCGTCGCCGTCGCCGTCGTCGCGGCCACCGCCGCCGCCACCCCCGCCGTGGTCGTCATCGTTGCCGTCGTCGTCGTCGTCGTCGTCGTCGTCGTCGTCGCGGTCGTCGTCGTCGTGAAGTCGTCGTCGCCGTCGCCGTGGACGTGGCCGTGACAGTGGCCGTAGCCGAGGCCGTGGCCGTGGCCGCGGCCGTCGCCGCCGCTGTCGTCATCATCGTCTTCGTCGTAGTCGCCGTATCCGTCGCCGTCGCCACCGCAGCCATCGTCGTCGCCGTTGAGGTCGTCGTCGTCGTCGTCGTCGTCGCCGTCGCCGTGGTCGTGGTCGTCGTCGTCGTCGTCGCCGCCGCCGTCGCCGTCGTCGTCGTCCTCCTCCTCCGCCTCCCTGTCCTTCTCCCTCCTCCTCCTCCTCCTCCTCCTCCTCCTCCTCCCCACCTTCGCAACCCCTGGGCTTCTCTTCTTCCTTATCCTCCTCATCTGTCGTTGTCGTGGTCGTCGTCGTCGGAGGGTCGTCGTCGATGGAGGTGGAAGGAAGGGATATCGAGAAGCGAGGATCCTGGAATGTTTTGTCTGACACCGAACGGCTGTCCGAAAGCGCAAGTCTTTCGATGTCGGGTCGACTCTAGCGGAGGCCTGGAAATGAGCACAAACACCAACGCAGGGGGTTGCCTCCAACGGGGGAAGGTGATCCTAGCATCCGGCGCTGGTGGCAATGTTTCGCTAACAAGACACCCGAATGCTACCACCATCACCGAAATCAGTTGGAGGCACACAGCCGACATTTGTGTTGGTGTCAACCTCTGGGCCTCCGATTCAATGCCACTGGCGAAGTTCAACATCGAATGGCCGCGCTGGGGGTCACCGCCGCGTCAGCGCGGCGCAAACCCGCACCACACGGGCGCTGGCGAAAACGCCGTCTTCGCGTCATCGTCGGGATATGACGGTCCAATGCACGCGCCGATATCGGCCAAATCTCGAGCCCCAGGGGGCTGACCCCTCCCACCTTCCTCGAGACCCCCGCGCTCCCCGCACCCACCCCCTCACGGCAACGACACGAACCCATCGCAAGGTTGTCGTCTGGGAAACCAGCGATGACGACGACTCTGACCTGAGCATCAGGGCGGATCTGGGCGTGGCCGCGGGCGCACCCCAGAAAGGGCTCCGAGGGCCCGGGAACGCTCAAGAACCCCAGACCTCGACGCTCGACACTCCAACGACGACGACGACGACGACGACGACGACGACGACGACGACGACGACGACGACGACGACGACGGCGAGCCGAATCGTCGACACATCGACACGACACACGAGACCGCCGCACGGGAGGCGCGCGGACGCACGCTCGGGCACGCACTCCCGGGCGCAGCCCTCTCCGAGGACAGGGCCGTGGTGCCGTGGCGCCAGGGATCTGCACTCGAACGGTGGAAGAGCGTGGAGCCAGAACGGACGGGGAGCCACATCAACGATAGGACCCACCGCAGGTGGCCCCCAGCACGCGACGCCCTGGCCCCGGCGGCGCCCCTCGCAGCCCGGACGCCTTCCCCCTCCTCGTCCTGCGCCGCTCTTGGACGGCCCCGGAGGGAACGGGTCCTGAACCCTGGACGGCCTTCCCGCAGGACGAGCTCGTCATCCTGCATCGTTTGTTGACGGTCCTGGGGCCCGCGGAGGGGCGCCCACCCGTTTAACCAGGGCGACTATCTTCGCGCTTGGCGCTCCGCGAAGCGCGACAGCGGCGCGATTACCTTCGCGCTTTCGCGCCGCCGTCTCCCCCCCCCTGGAACAGGATGAGGGACTCGCGCCTCGCACTGAAATCGCCCAGATCGCGAAGCGCGACTCACTTCGCAGCGACGTGGTGGCCCGAGCTTCGTCTCCTCCTCCTCCTCCTCCTCCTCCTCCCCCTCCTGCTCCTCCTCCTCCTCCTCCTCCTCCTCCTCCTCGGCCTCCTCCTCGGCCCTCCTCCTCGCTCCCCCTCCTCCTCGCTTGTCCTCCTCCTCGCTTCTCCTCCTCCCCCTCCTCCATCCCCCACCTCGCCCCTCCTCCTTCTCCTCCTCCCTCCTCCTCCTCCTCCCTCCTCCTCCTCCTCGCTCCTCGCTCTTCGCTCCGCGAGGGAGGAGGCAAGCTTGCAGCAGCCCCCCCCCCCCCCTTCGCCCTGCGCCTCCTCGGCCTGTAGAGGGGCGCTGAGCTACGGCTACGGCGCGGCGCGGGGAGGAACTCCGCGCGCGGAGCCACGTGGCAAAGCAGGCTCTTCCCGAACGCCGCCGACGACGACGACGACGACGACGATGACGACACGTTTCCACCATTCGGCGGTGAGCGAGGGGATGAAGTGAGAAGCGGCGAGCCTTCTCAGAAGGCTCGGAAGTCTGCGGGCCTTCTGAACAGTTTTCTGAGCCTTCCCCGAACACCGAACATAAAAAACCGCTCAGAAGGCCCCGCCGCCTTCTGAGAAGGCCTTCTCCTTCTCACTTCTGGAGAACCCAACGGGTATCGATACCGCTACTCCCTGGACCTCTCCCGGGGTGCGTGCTGACCAGAATTTCGAGGCGAATCCAGCGGTGGCGATGAGGGCCTCCCAGGAGCTCAAGAAGGGGAAAAAAGGCGAAGGTTAGCGGTATGAACACCTTTTCCTCCTTCTTCACTTCCTCCTCGGCACGTGCTGGGGCCCGTTAACTGCGCCTTCTCTTTGGGAGGGCCTGCTGCTGCTGCTGCTGCTGCTCCTCCTCCTCCTCCCCCTCCTCCCGAGAAGCCCTCTCCTTCTCACTTCCCCCCCCCCGCGCTCGCCGACGAACCGGAGCGAGGCGGCTGTCGGGAGAAGCGAGGTGGCGAGGCATGCGGCGGCGAGCGGAGCTGGGCCGGAGCGGTGCCCGGCCTGGCCCGGCGCCACGGCAGGCGCCGCCTCCGCGGCGGGCGCCGTCGCTGCCGGGGGAGGCGCCGCACCTCGGAGGCAGGCCGACGACGTTCGTCGTCGCTGTCGTCCTCGTCGTCGTCGCTGTCGTCGTCGTCGCCGTCGTCGTCGTCGTCTTCGTCGTCTGCGCCGTCGTCCTCGTCGTCGTCGTCGTCGTCGTCGCCGTCGCTGTCGTCGTCGTCGTCGTCGTCGTCGTCGTCGTCGTCGTCGTCGTCGTCGTCATCGTCGTCGTCGGAGAGTCAGCCCCCGTCTGAGAAGGCTTCGGGTTTCGCAGTCAGCACCCTGGCACCGGCTCTGGCGGCGCCCCCTGGGGGCACTCCGCGCCCCAGGGCCACGCTGATGAGACCGCCCGGGGGGGGGCCTGTCGAGGCTAGCTGGGGCTCCTCGGGGAGCCTGTCACTGCCTGGAGGCCTGTCCGTGCACATGACGAAGCCCTACCACTTCGGCCGTTTCCTAGGGAGAGGGGGGGGAGGAGAGGAGCGGAAGGGGACTATGAGGAGGGGAGGAGGAGGAGGAGAGGAGGAGGAGGAGGAGAGGAGGAGGAGGAGGAGGAGGAGGAGGAGGAGGAGGAGGGGGGGAGGGAGGAGGAGGGGGGGGGAGGAGGAGGAGGAGGAGGAGGAGGAGGAGGAGGAGGAGGAGGAGGAGGGGAGGAGGAGGAGGAGGGGGGGGAGGAGGAGGAGGAGGAGGAGGAGGAGGAGGAGGAGGAGGAGGAGGAGGAGGAGGGAGGAGGAGGAGGAGGAGGAGGAGGAGGAGGAGGAGGAGGAGGAGGAGGAGGAGGGTACGAGGGTACGAGGCGTGGCGCGCGCGTCCGAGGCCCGAACACGCGGCGGCTAGAGGAGGAGGAGGAGGAGGAGGAGGAGGAGGAGGAGGAGGAGGAGGAGGTCATCTCGCTTCGGTCTCTGGAGGCCTGTGCGCGGCGTGGTTTGGAAGGCCCGCACTTCCAAGGTGGCCCTGGGTGCGCGGCTTCGGGGGGCCGCGGGGGCCCGAGCCCAGGCTCGCACGCCGCTGCAAGCTATGGCACTCAGCGATCGGGGGACTCAACAGGGGCCGCCTCAAAGGTCTCCCTGAGGATCGAGGAAGGCTTCCTCGCATCCGCGATCTTTGACATCTCCTCAATCCAACTCCCAAAACAGATCCAGATCCATGTGGCCGACCAGGTAGGGCGAGGAAACGGTCCCAGACGACGCAAACAAGAAACGGCCTCTGCCTTGAATTTTGTCGAAGCGTCGACAGTCTGGGAGGGGCGTCGACGAACCGACTGGTGATTGTACCCCATGACTGCGCCCCCGCGCCGCCGTCGAAGTCGTCGGCAGCGGCGTCGTCGTTGTCGCGACGCATCGAACCCAACGCATACTCCTTTTTGGATGCAAGGGCCTGCATGTTTCGGCCCTCCCCACCAGAAAATGGGCCCAAGCCTCCCGGGCGCCGGCCCGCTCCCTCCCTTTTCGCTGGTTTCGCATGGCGGCCAAGTTGCCCCCCAGTCGGTCAAGGAGGCCTCCACCCCGGCCACAGGTTTCCTGTAGAATTGAAGCCATGGAGCTCCATGAACGCCCAAGAAAGCAACAAGACGCCTCCTTGGACGCCTGCGAGAGGCAACACAACAACAAACATTACTTTTGTGAACAATTGTCATGTTGTCGCCTTGTTCGTCTTCACAGCGTCCACAACGACCCAAGAGCTCCCTCAACAGTTCCCCGCGACGCCCCCAAGAGGCCCTATGCGGGCACCCAAAAAACCTAAAAGGCCCTCAAGACGTCCACAAGAAACTCGACGAGGTCCCACAAGGCCCCGCGACATCCCGGAGAAGCCCCCAAGCAGCGCCCGAAAGCTCCCCCAAAGGCCCCAGATAGGGCCTCGAGAGGCCCCATGACATCGACACACGCAGCAAGCAACGTCGACAACGGCTGCGTGTCACAATCGTGTCCGTTCTCTGCCCACCTCCACACCTTCACCGACACAAGCTGTTTTTCACTTTGACGCCCCTTCTTTGTACACTCTCAAAGGCGCGTTCCGAAGCGGCTGTCATATATGTGGTGCGACATGTGTAGTGAAATGTGGGTGATTCAATCAGTGTGGTGCAGTCGGTGCTTCGCGCAATTCAGTGCATGCCTTGCCGCAATGTGGCCCCGCTAGGACTCTCTCGCAAGCGCGGTGGCAAATATGCGCGGCAGCGCAACTGGATACCCTGCGACCACGCCCCAGCGACGACGCCGTCGGCGTCGCCGCCGTCAGCTTAGTCGTCGTCGTCGTTGTCGTCGTCGTCGTCGCCATCGCCGTCGTCGTCGCTGCCGTCGCCGCCACTGCCGCCGCCGCCGCCGACGCCGTCGCCGTCGTCGTCGTCGTCGTCGTCGTCGTCGTCGTCGTCGTCGACGTCGTCGTCGTCATCGTCGTCGTCGTCGTCGTCGCCGTCGCCGTCGCCGTCGCCGTCGTCGTCGTCGTCGTCGTCGTCGTCGTCGTCGTCGTCGTCGTCGTCGTCGTCGTCGTCGTGGTCGTCGTCGCCGTCGCCGTCGTCGTCGTCGCCGTTACCGTCGCCGTCGCCGTCGTCGCCAGCGTCGTCTTCGTCGTCGTCGTCGCCGTCGCCGGCGCCGTCGCCGTCGCCGTCGCCGTCGCCGTCGCCGTCGCCGTCGCCGTCGTCCGTCGTCGTCGTCGTCGTGGTCGTCGTCGTCGTCGTCGTGGTCGTGGTCGTGGTCGTGGTCGTGGTCGTGGTCGTGGTCGTGGTCGTGGTCGTCGTCGTCGTCGTCGTCGTTCCGTCGCCGTCGCGTCGTCGTCGCCGTCGCCGTCGTCGTCGTCCGTTCGTCGCCGTCGCCGTCGCCGTAGCCGCCGACGCCGTCGCGTCGCCGTGCCGTCGCCGTCGCCGTCGCCGTCGCCGTCGTCGCCGTCGTCGTCGTCGTCGTCGTCGTACGTCGTCGTCGTCGTCGTCGTCATTGTCGTCGTCGTCATCGTCGTCATCATCGCCGTCGTCGTCGCCGTCGCCGTCGCCGTCGCCGTCGCCGTCGCCGTCGCCGTCGCCGTCGCCGTCGTCGTCGTGGTCGTGGTCGTCGTCGTCGTCGTCATGTTCGTCGTCGTCGTCATCATCGCCGTCGTTGTCGTCGTCGTGGTCGTCGCCGTCGTCGACGTGGGCGTCGTCGTCGTGGTCGTCGTCGTCGTCGTCGACGTCGACGTCGTGGTCGTCGTCGTCGTGGTCGTGGTCGTTGTAGTCGTGGACGCCTCCATCATCGCTGGCCCCATTGTTGCCGTCGTCTCCTCATGTTCTGACCGCGAGAGCCCAGTCCCAGACCCAACGACACCGACCACATCTCCGACGCCGCCGCCGCCGCGCCGATGTCGGCTTCGTTCGCCGCCGTCGGGACGTCGGCGGCGGCGCCCAGTAACGTCGACGCCGACGGCGACGACGAAGCCGTCATCGTCGACGTCGCCGCCTGCGGCGCCTGGCAGCGGTGCCCCCGCGGCGGGCCGCGGCGCGGCTCCGAAGGCGGGCAACGCAGCGCCGGCGGGCAGCAGGCCGATCATCGCCAGCGCCGCGGCCTCCCCGCGGCCGACCGCGGCCGACGCCGGCGGTGCCCCCGACGGCGCCGACGACGACTACGACGACGACGACGACGCCAGCGGCGGCGACGACGCCGAGGCTGGCGACTGCGGCGGCGTCGACGGCGACGAAGGCGACGATGCCGGCTGCGACGAGGCCGGCGACTGCGGTGGCGTCGGCGGGGACTGCGGCGGCAGCGACGACACGACGAGGCTGGCGATTGCAGCGGCAACGGCGGCGACAACGGCGACGACCGCGACGACGCCCGCGACGGCGGCGGCAACGGCGGCGACGACGGAAACGGCGGCGGTGGCGACGGCGACGACAGCAACGACGGCGACGACGCCCGCGACGGCGGGTGCAGCGGCGGCGGCGACATATACGGCGGCGGCGACGGCGACTACGACGCCCGCGGCGGCGACGGTGGCGGCGGGCGACGGCGACGCTGGCGGCGCCGACGTTGAAACTGTTCACGACCTTCTTCTTTCTCCCAGGACGCTCGAGAGGCCTCGGCCATTTCGGCCCCCCCTTCACGCGCATCGTGGCCCGACAGGGGGCCCGAAATCCATCCATCCCGCGGCGCGCAGGATGCGAGGAGAAGGCCGCTCGCCCACCCGCCCTCGACCGCCCCCTCTCCCGCACCTCCTGCTCGGGGGGATGCGGCCAGAGGGCCCGAACATCTCCCTCGTCCTTCTCACTGCTGAGCTTCGCCCGAAGTCGGCGGGCGCCGCCGTCACCGCACGCCCTCGGCCATCGCCCCGCCACGCCCCGGCCAGGAACTTTCGCCCAGCGTGTCGCGGCGAAGGCCCCC